GGCCCGGCGGCGACGAGACGGCGACGGGGGTGGCGACGGCGAGCAAGGAGCCGCCAGCCAGGCCAGACGACGTGCGGCGACGAGGCGGCGACGGGACGTCGGCGGCGGCCACGGAGCCGCCAGACAACCCGCCAGGCCCAGTTCATGTGACATGCAATGAGAGCTCCTACGTGCGAGCGCCGTTTGGGGAGCAGAAGAACAAACAACACAAAAAAACGGTAACAGGTCCCCCGTAGTGGAGTTAGGAAAGGTCCCCTGGCGCGGGTCAAAACGGTTGTGGATGCCATGACAATGGACACTCTGACAATCCTACCATTGAATTTAAGATGTGCTCAAGCTGTGCAAGCCGTGTTCTCACAATGGTCCAAACATGTTTTGACATGTTTAAATTATTTGTCATATGGAGACTATTTGGAATTATCTAACATCTGTGAAACATGTTTTAGACATCTGGGCATTATTTGGCGACATGCTTCCTCTCCGTTACGCAATCGCCTTCCACAACAGAACGGCAAAAGCGCATGCCCCCTGAAGAGGGGGCAGGGCGCACAGGCACCCCGAGGGCCTCGAGATGGACCCAGGTGGCCTCGAGGCAGCCCCCGCAGCTTCCAGGACGCCCCGGGACGGCCCCGAACGGAGGCCCACGAAGCCCTCGAGAGACATTCATGAACACTATACGGGGCGGTTCTCCTCAGAACCCCCAGAGAACCCCTGGAGAACCCGGAGAGCCCGGAGAACCCGGAGAACCCCGGAGAACCCCGGAGAACCCCCGGAGAACCCCCGGAGAAGCCCCGGAGAACCCGGAGAACCTGGAGAACCCGGACGGCTCCGAACGGACGCCCACGAAGCCCTCGAGAGGCACCACGCACTGTCGCTCCAAGTGTCTGCGCGATGTTTGCACGCTGGGCCTTTCGGACCTCGAGGGGCCCCAGGCAGTCCAAAAGGTCCCAGAAGAAGGCTCGAAGACTCTCCAAGCGGCCCGCGAAAGGGCCCCACGACAGCCCTTGTTTTTCCAAGGTAGGCTCGAGGCGTTCCAAGATGCGTGCGGCAATTATTCCATGCGCGAGCGCGCGCGTAGCTCCAGGCGCTTCCCGTGGACACCTGGCGGCGGGTCCTGACAGGGGGGTCCTGAGACGGCCCAGGGAGGGCCCCCGGGCGGCAAGATGCCCCCGAGACGGCCCGAGGCCCCCAAACACGCCGGAGACTGGGTCCCAGGAGAGGGAGGTCGAGCTGGCCTCGAGGGCCTCTCCTTCCAAGGTTGCCTCCAAGACCCCTTACCTTGCCTCCGAGACGCCACCCGAAGCCCCCGAGACGTCCGCGCGAGGGCCTACGAGGCCCCCAAGAAGCCCCCCCCCCCAAACAGACCTCCAGAGGCTCTCCTGACGGGTCCAAAAGCCCCCCCCGTCCTGCTAAGCGGTTGCACAGCCACGGCGGCGGGGTTTCCCGCTGGCAGCTGGATACAAATTAATATGCAAACATACGGTAAGGGCATCGGATCAATATGACGAACCAACAACACACACCCATACCCATAGGGGGGTCGGAGGGGGCTATGGGTGCGTGTTGTCGAATGGGGGTCCCCGCTCGAACGGGAGCGTTCCCCAGGGTCCGACAACCCGCACCCATACCCATAGCCAGTCCTCCTCCCAACGACCCCCCTATGGGTATGGGTGTGTGTTGTTCGTTCGTGACAATAATCGTCAGACAAAGATTCCAGGGCCTGAAAGGCGGTGGAACACTGATGGAGGCTAGGCCATGGATATCGCCGCCGCCCTCGTCAGATGAGGAATCCGCAAGGGTCCGAAGCCTCCGGGGCACAGTCCTCAACGTACGCCGCCACCGTATCAGATGATCCCCCTGCGCACCACAGCTGTGCACGCGCTCCAAGAGCACCTTGCGGGGCCGCGCTGGAAACTGCTTCCCAGGATCTGCTGGGCGAAAGACGATCCGCATCAGAAGATACAGGTGCTGACAGGAGGTAGATGGACAACGTGAGGCAAGGACGAGAATGAGCATGCAAGGAAGCACTGCCGGCGGAACAAGAATCTTTAACTACCTACCAGACCACCCCAACCCAACCCGAAGACCCGAATTTCTGGTTGGGGGGGGGGTACGGGCTTCATGTGTGTTCTCAATGTTCCCCGACCCCCCCACCCACTGGAAATGGAGGGCAAATTGAGGCCTTCGGGTTGGGGTGGGATGGCTTGGTGGGTGGTGAAATATACAAACGCGCACGCAGGTCAGGAAACGGACACGAGCAAGGGAGGCGAAAGCGCAGGGGGGGCCACGCGGGAGAGGCAGGAGGCGCCAAGAGGGCTGGGGCGGAGCGTGATCAAGGCAGGCAACGACAGCAGAAGGAGGCCGTCGGCCGAGCGGGCTTGGAAGAAGAGAGGCCGAGATCGGCCACTGCGCGCGTCCGAGGCCCTCCCAGCGCCGGAGCTCTGACGTGGTGGGTGCAACGGCAAGCCTGCAGCACCCTGCGCCAGATCACCCATCACCCAGACTCGCGCCCTCGCGCGGCCAACCTGGAGGAAAACAGCAGCGGCCCAGCACTCTGGCAGCATCTTCGCGCTTACGTGGGTGACCAAGTTCTGGCCCCCCCAAGCCTGTTCAGGCGAAGAAAAGGCCCATGCCAACGTCGGAGAGACGTAAGACTCCAGTTTGACGCACTCGAAGTTGACCGACGGGACTATCAGAAAATGACGCGACCTAATGCGACATTTGACGCGAATTCCTGCTGAGGCGCCTCGCGAGCCTCCGTCACCCGAAGACGAGCCACCTCTGTCCAGGCGTCGTGGCCTGGCGTCTGCCCAAGCTTTTGGCGCTCCTCGCGGATGTCTTGGATCTGGCTTTGAACCCCCCCCTCCCTGGCGCGCGGAGCGCGCCAGGGGCGGCGCCGGAGGCGCCGCCCGGGGGGGCCCAGCACGGAGCCGAGGACGTCCGCGCGGAGCGCCACAAATTTATGCCTATGGCGTCTTCTGTCCTTCGACTGATGGACGATGCCTCGGCCTTCTCGGAGCGCTCCTGGAGCGCCCTGAAACGGAATGGGAGTCGTCGCCCTCGCGTCCCGCGTCCGCCGGAGAGGCACCCGGCCCCGAGGCTCCACGCGAGCGACGAGAGGGAGACTGCTTTTTATTAGTTTGGGCACTTCTTGCAGATGTTGGATCTTAGTTGTTACTAGCTGTGGTGTAACTGTCCTGACATAACTTACAACAAGCTTAACTCATGTCACAAGTCGGCTACGTAATTATAGGTCAATTATAACTTCTACGGACATAGAGATGATATAAGATGGTATATAACTAGCTGGGTCATTTATATCATCCAAATTGAATGACTCCGAAGAGAGTTCATCCTAATGTGATAACTAATTGTAGCTGAGTTAGCGGCATGGTACCATCAATTGCAATGTCATTATACTCGATGCGGATGTTATATCGGAATTGGCATTTAGTTACGCAGAAGTTGTCGGAATTAGCAGAGAGGTGTTGTGATGATTCCCTTCTCCTTTTTCGCATCTGTAGCTTTGTCGGTTCGAACGCCTGGGCCAAAACGTTTCGGCTCACAACGCAGCCTCATGAAAAACCTCGTTTGATTGAGTCGCTGACGCAGGGTGGTCTGACGGCGTCGGTTGCAGCAGTTCGGCGCATTGTATCGAAAGACGATGGGGAGGCTGACAATGACTGCAAAAATGTCGGGTCCTACGTGTCCCGCATGAAAGTAGAACGCTCTGGTAATGTTGCCCTGGATGTTCTGTTGCTGTTGCCCTGCACAGGTAACACTGAATATAAGTGGGGCATGGCAAATCCTTTTGCGCTCCTGGCTTGTTTAGCCGAAACGAATGTTGGTTTTGCGCATCTTATGTCCACGCATTTGAGCGGCAGGACGACGAACCTAATATGCTGGGAGGACGAAACCACCCCTGAGGCAACGCCATGCGCCCCGATTCGACGACCAAGGTCTGCGCTTTGTATTTCACCTTCGTCGAATTCCCTGCTTACTTCCGGCACGGCGATTACGGATGGCTACCCGTAGGCAGGGCCCGAATGCAGTTGCATGTTCCCTTCCGTCACCATCCCCCCGTCCACGATGAAATCGTGCGTGCGTCTGCGTGGGGTGGAAGGCGCGGGCGCGCGCGGGCGTGGGAGGAGGGGGTGGGTCGGGGGCGCATATGTTTGGGCATTCGGGACAACAGGGTTCATTGGCTACGACGAAATGCAGAAAATCGGGGGCGGTGATTCAGGTTTGTGGAAACACGTGTTACATGTATGCTTCGGCCCTGCGTGGAATTTCACAATTGGTTTCAGGGTGTCGGATGGGTTTCGCATTACATTTCTTATCACATCTGATTTGCGATGTTTCTCCAAGACGAGAAAGCGCATAAAGAGCTAAAGACGAGCAAGGGCGCACAGGGTGTCAGCTGTTGCCACACGTGTAAGAACATGTTCAGTGGAGACCCAAACCGTGTCAGAGATAACCCTTGTATACACCGCTATGCATTCGCCACGACGCAGCAATTCGATAGCCACGACGACGCCTCGATGCGGGAGGCTGAAAATACATTGTCCCAGCAGAAAATGGTTCTCGGCATTGGTGCGTTCAAAAAGTTAGAGATGACGTTCGGGCAGAATTGCGATCCTGACAGCATCATTTGGGTCATCGGTTTGCGCAGATAGTTTAAGCCGTATTCAACTTGTTTTTGGGACTGGATGCATATTGTTGCGGCTTCAGGGGGAACAGCTCAGTACAGCATACGATGTTTCTGCAGGGATCTACAGAAGAGCGGCGTGCAGACGCACGGGATCTCATTACAGAAATTGGACGAGTTCCAATTGGCGGCACTCAGCGACAACCAAAACCACACCTTACATAACAGCTTCTTTCAGAAACGAGTCAGCATGACAGAAGACACGCACGTGAAAGCACTTGCTGCCAAATGCCTCACTGCAATTTCGGGGCATGCGATTTTCTGTAGAATGGTTTTGAAACCCAAGCGTGTCCTTGTAGACCAGTGCGAGCTGATTTTGATTTTGAACGATATCTGCGACATGTTGACATCAGGCGACTTGGCAATTGCGCAGGCCGACGTGTTCGCGCGCAAGATCGCCCAGCACCGCCAATAAATGTTGCGCCTCTGTGGGCACGGTTGCGTGAAAATCAAAACACATGTGTTGTATCACGTGCCCGAATGTTTTCTGCGATTTAAAACTAACGCGTCGTGCTTTTCGAACGAGAGGAAGAACAAACTGGTTAAGGCGACTTGCATTCACATCCCAGGGTCGCATCGGTCCAGGAATTTGCTGGGCAGGATTATCATCGATATGGAAGACAATCTTTCGCGCGCTCGATTACAGGAAAATTGCTTGCTATGCCCGGTTCATGACGCAATGCCATTGGCGAATGCTGTTCCAGGCCCGCGCAGGCCCATCCGTGCCCGGGCATCCAAATCAATTGCGTTCAGGAGGTGGCCCGTCAGACAGGGCATGGTCAGGTCAGCGAGAGCCGCCGACCGTAGCGTGGTGTATTTCCAGTTCGTGTCTGTGTGTTGGAGCAGCCCATCATCTATGGTTTGGGAGCGTTCCTCGACCGAGTCGGCCCCGACGTATTGCAATCATCTGGCAGTTTCGCTAAGATTCTCCCAGCGATTTCATTTGACAGCGCATGCATTGTAAAGATGGCGCTACCCTCCGCACTGCTTCTGTCCTTGCTTAGAAGAGTCGCGGGTGAAGCCCATTATCCCGGCAAAGCAACCTAACAGCGATGTGCAGGAGCATATCTGGAAGCATTCCCATTCAGATTCAGATGAGAATCCAGTTGTAGAATTCTGCTGTTCTCGCAGTCGTAGTCGCATTCGCGATGACAGTCGCAGTGGCAACGGCAGTCGCAGTCACAGCCTCAGCCTCAGCCTGCCTCAGCCTCAGCCTCAGCCTGCCTCAGCCTCAGCCTGCCTCAGCCTCAGCCTCAGCCTGCTTCAGCCTCAGCCTCAGTCTGCCTTCAGCCTCGGCCTCAGCCTCAGCCTGCCTCAGCCTCAGCCTGCATCAGCCTCAGCCTCAGCCTCAGCCTGCCTCAGCATCAGCCTGCCTCAGCCTCAGCCTCAGCCTGCCTCTGCCTCAGCCTCAGCCTGCTTCAGCCTCAGCCTCAGCCTTCAGCCTCAGCCTCGCCTCAGCCTCAGCCTCAGCCTGCCTCAGCCTCAGCCTGCATCAGCCTCAGCCTCAGCCTCAGCCTGCCTCAGCCTCATCAGCCTCAGCCTCAGCCTCAGCCTCAGCCTCAGCCTGCCTCAGCCTCAGCCTCAGCCTGCTTCAGCCTCAGCCTCAGTCTGCAGCCTCAGCCTCGGCCTCAGCCTCAGCCTGCCTCAGCCTCAGCCTCAGCCTCAGCCTCAGCCTCAGCCTCAGCCTGCCTCAGCCTCAGCCTGCCTCAGCCTCAGCCTCAGCCTGCCTCAGCCTCAGCCTCAGCCTCAGCCTGCTTCAGCCTCAGCCTCAGTCTGCCTTCAGCCTCGGCCTCAGCCTCAGCCTGCCTCAGCCTCAGCCTGCATCAGCCTCAGCCTCAGCCTCAGCCTGCCTCAGCATCAGCCTGCCTCAGCCTCAGCCTCAGCCTGCCTCAGCCTCAGCCTCAGCCTGCTTCAGCCTCAGCCTCAGTCTGCCTTCAGCCTCGCCTCAGCCTCAGCCTCAGCCTGCCTCAGCCTCAGCCTGCCTCAGCCTCAGCATCAGCCTGCCTCAGCATTCAAAATGTGGCCCGGGAATGGAGTTCTGGGATCTCGAAGAACACGAAGTGGCCTACAAAATCATGCCCAGGAATGGAGTTCTGGGAACTCGAAGACCACGAAGTGGCCTACAGTTGGCTCCGGGCATTCAAAATCATGCCCAAGAATGGAGTTCTGGGAACTCGAAGAACACGAAGTGGCCTACAAAATCATGCCCAGGAATGGAGTTCTGGGAACTCGAAGACCACGAAGTGGCCTACAGTTGGCTCCGGGCATTCAAAATCATGCCCAAGAATGGAGTTCTGGGAACTCGAAGAACACGAAGTGGCCTACAGTTGGCTCCGGGCATTCAAAATCATGCCCAAGAATGGAGGTCTGGGAACTCGAAGACCACGAAGTGCGTTACTGTTTGCTAAAAAAAGAGTCCCCGGTTTTCCCCGGCACCCGTCCGGCATCTGCCCAGACCCCCCTGGGGAGTCATGATGCTCTCTTTTGACCCTACTGGAAACCTATCAGTCTTCGCTGTTAGGTAGTTTGCCAGGAAAGCTCCCAGAAAAAAATGAGTGCGCTTTAGATATCGGTCCCAAACACTTACACAAACAACAAAAAAGTGGATGCTCAGCACCGCCCACGGACGCATACACATTAGAATGAGGGGGCCGAACGGTCATTAATTGTCCTTGAGTGCGTGGCTGGCGTGGGGACCCGCGGTGGGGATTATGTTTGCTGCATTGTTGCGTTGGTGCGATGTTGTTGTTCGCTGTCGCCGTTTCACCCATCCGCCCCGCGACCCGCCCCGCGACGCATCCCGCGACCCACCCGAAGACCCACCCGAAGACCCACCCGAAGACCCACCCGCGACCCACCCCGCGACCCACCCGCGACCCGCCCGCGACCCGCCCGCGACCCACCCGCGACCCGCCCGCGACCCACCCGCGACCCACCCCGCGACCCGCCAGCGACTCACCCCGTCCAACACCGCGTCACCCCACCCTCTGAGCTCCCTGTGTGCAACTGTTGTGGCTCCAGCGCGCGCGCACGAGCAAAAGGGGTGCTCCTCTATCTTCTCTCGCTCCCTTTGCTTCTCCTGTCCCCTCTCGATCATTCTCAGAGATGCTCGGCGAACACCCCGCTCCTTTGATCGATTTTCCCCAAGATGGCCCCCGAGGCTCCCAAGGGTGCCCCACGACGGCCCCAAGGGGTGCCCGGGAGGCCCCAAGAGGCCCCCAAGAGGCCCCCAAGATGGCTCCCGAGGCTCCCAAGAGGCCCCCAAGAGACCCCCAAGGGGCGCTCAGAGGCCCCCCACGAGGCACCAAAGGCGCACCAAGAGGCCTCTGGGACTACCAAGAGGCCCCCAAGACGACCCAAGAAGACCTCACCTCTGGCCTTCCGGCTCGCCCTTCCTCCTCCTCCTCCTCGTCCTCTTCTTCGTCCTCCTCCTCCTGCTCCTCTTCCTCCTCCTCTTCCTCCTCCTCCTCCTCCTCCTCTCCTCCTCCTCCTCCTCCTCCTCTTCCTCATCCTCATCCTCCTCCTCCTCCTCCTCCTCCTCCTCCTCCATCATCATCATCATCATCATCATCATCAGCATCAGCATCATCATCATCAGCATCAGCATCATCATCATCATCATCATCATCATCATCATCATCATCATCATCATCATCATCATCATCATCATCATCATCATCATCATCATCATCATCATCATCATCATCATCATCATCATCATCATCATCATCATCATCATCATCCGCCTGTTCCTCCTCCTTCCTCGTCCCTCATCCCCCTCCTCATCTCCCCACTCCTCATCATCCTCCTCCACCTGCTCCTCCTCCTCCTCCGATCCCTCCTCCATTCTCCCCCTCTTGGGGTACGACGTCTTACCCGACCCTTTATTCCACTGCATTATATTCCGCATCCCTGATCAGGGCAACTCGACTGGACAGCGTTCCTGGATGGGCTGGTGGGGTTACGCGAAGCGTCTAGAACTCTCAGCCTCGAGCTGGGCTCGCTTCCCGAACCCCGCCTTGGGCAAAAGCCTCTTCTACGTACCCTCGACCACTGTGCAGGTTCGCAGGTCCTGGTGCCATGGTTTCCCGCCCCTCGTGAAGGCCAGGGCCAGGGCTGCCTCGGGGCCAGCGCCGGGCTCAGGGGCGGTTGAAGGGGGGGGGGGGGGGCGTCCGAGACGGGGGGCCAGCAGACCGCGGCCCGAGGCACAGCGCGGACGACCCCGGGGGCCAGGTGGCGCCTCGAGGCAAGGACTGACGACGGCAGAGGGGGTCAGGCTGCTGCTCACTCGGGTCCGAAGGCATCCGGCCCCTGGCCTTCTGAGAAGCAGCCTTCGGCGGAGGACAAACCTCCCTTTAGTAAGCCTCCCCTTAGTGAAAAAAGGGCCTGGGGCCGAAACCGACACCTGAGTGAAAAGGGCCTGGGGCCGAAACCGACGGACCTGGAGCCGCAAAAATGACGGCCGCGACGCCCTCTCGCGAACCGAAAACGGCCAACTCCTGAATCGATGTCCACCCCCGGAATCCTGGGCCCTCTCTGGGGGGCGGGAGAGCTTCCGAGAAGCCCGCCGCCTTCTGGGAAGGCCTGCCCCCGCTCGCCTCCCCCACGGGTTCGCCGCCGAAGGGAGCCCACGGGCAGACATCACTGCACCAGGAGAGCCCAGAATCGAATCGATAGGTCGGATCGGCGATCGGAATGAAGCGGATCGGCGGAAACCGGCAGCCGAGTCGGGAGAAGTCGAAACAACACAAAAAAAGCGGCAGGCTAGCAGGCCTCCGTCGAGAAATCGGAATCCACATCAAAATCCGAGGTCGAATGGAATCGGAACCGGAAGCCATCGGAATCCAAACGACGCGAAGCGGGAGAACCGAAACGAGCCCTGCACTGCACCGGCCACTATATCCACCCCTGGTCCTCTGGGGGAAACGAGGGGGGGGACTGGCATAGGTGGGATGCATCGACCTGGAATCTGCGATACATCGCCGATAGATCGGCGATAGGCCTCTGATAGTGAGTCCGCACCTTCCTGGGCAGGTTGGGGCTATCGGGCCCCTATCGGCGATCAATGGGCGATTGGGGGTCGATGCGGCCCCCCCTATGCCTATCCCCCCCTATCGTTGCCCCTGGTCCTCACCCCCCTCTTCGCCGACCATGGCGGGGGCGCGCGGGGGGGGCAGGGGACGTGTCGAGACAAGGATCGACGGCGAGCCCAGGGGAGGAGGCAGGGGGCTGGCCGGACTTCTCGGGAGGCATCCGAAGGCCTCAGGCCACGATACGTATCCACCTCCCCTAGGATCGTCAACCCGCCCTTGTAGAGGCCTCCTAGATTTGGAAGGTGGGCGAGGGCTGGCAAATCCGTGGCTGCTAAAACCCAGAAGAAAAAAACAATTCCCGGAATAAAGCTCAGCGCACTAAGTAATAAAC